CCAAAAAACTACCGACCGATAACATGTCTATCAGTAATGTATAAGCTGCTAACATCGGTATTATATTGCAAAATCTACGAGCATTGCAACTACCATTCTATAATAGCCCCAGAACAGAAAGGATGCATAGTGGGTAGCTTAGGCTGTAAAGAACAGATTATACTTGACTCCATTATATCCAATCAAGCAAGGGTTAAAAAACGTAATCTAAGTGTGTGCTATATTGACTATGCCAAAGCCTTTGATTCTGTGCCTCATGATTGGCTCGAAAAAACCTTAGAAATATACAAAATTGACCCTAACATTAGATTATTACTAAGTTTCTTAATGAAACAGTGGAGAACCAATTTAAATGTTAACGGAGAAAAAGTAGGGCAAGTCCAAATAAATAGAGGGATATTTCAAGGTGATTCGCTTAGTCCATTATGGTTTATCTTGGCTCTAAATCCTCTATCGTCCCTACTACGTAATACTAACTGTGGCTACCGCCCATCTATTCAGAGTAACACCAAGCTAAGCCACTTAATGTTCGTTGACGATATAAAACTGTATGCGGAAAATAAACAGCACCTAAATATATTAATCCAAACAGCTAAAAAGTTTAGTGATGATATTAAAATGACATTTGGATTAGAGAAATGCGCTACATTGACATTTATCAAGGGTCACATACAGTATGAAAACGCAGCAAGAGAAATTCAACCTCTACCTCCAGAAGAAACGTACAAATACCTAGGAATAGAGCAACATGGCTCAATAGATCATAGCAATAGAAAAAAAGAATATAAAGAAAAATATAAAAAGAGACTTACCAAGCTACTTAACACTAAACTAAACTCTAAAAATCTTACTATAGCTGTCAATACCTGGGCAATATCTGTACTGACTTACTCTTTTGGGATTTTGAAATATACCACCACTGATTTGAAAGAGCTAGACCGTCTAACACGCAGACTTCTAACTAAATTTAGATATCATCATCCCAGATCTGCCGTTGAGCGAACACATCTACCCAGAAGCGAAGGAGGACGTGGGTTTATTTGTATAGAAAAGCTATGCAAAGAACAAGAGCAGAAAATGAAGGAATATTTTAGCAAAGCAGAGTGCCCATTATTAAGATCTATTGTGACACATGATAATAAATATACACCTCTAAATCTATCGGAACAAGAAGAACATAGAGCACCAATTAGTAACCAATCGATAAGAACATCATGGAGAGAAAAAGTTTTACACGGAAAATACCCAGCTGCACTGACACAACAAAACATTAGTAAAGAACTTTCGCTAACTTGGCTAATAAAAGGACAACTATACCCGGATACCGAGGGATTTTTAATAGCAATTCAAGATCAGGTAATCCGTACCCGAAACTATGAAAAGCATATCTTGAAAGCAAATGTGGAAGATGTATGCAGAAAATGTCGTGTACCTAACGAAACAATAGAACACATAACGGCTGGATGTTCCGCATTATCGAGTAGTGCCTACCTAGGAAGACATAATCAAGTAGCCAAAATAATACATTCCCAGTTAGCGCAAAAACTAAACCTAACTAAAAATCCTCCACCTTACTATCGCTATAATCCAGAGCCGATTTTAGAATCAAGGGAAAACATTTTATATTGGGATAGACCGATACTTACTGATCGAACAGTGGACTACAACCGACCTGATATCGTCATTATCGGGAAAGAAAATAAAGAAGCATTTATTATAGACATTGCTTGCCCACTGAGCCATAACGTTCTGAAAACAGAATTAGAAAAAACTACAAAATATGAAAATCTTGCCATAGAAATAAAACATGTTTGGGGCATGAAGAGGGTACAAATAATCCCAATAGTAGTTTCCGTTACAGGAATTGTCTCCGTTAACCTTTCTAAACAACTAGAAAAACTAAATATACCTCCCATTATACCACATCTACAAAAAGCAGCCATCCTACAGACCTGCCATATAGTGAGGAAATTTTTGGGCGTGTTGGAATAAGATGAATTTCTTCTTTAACTATGCCTATTGCAACCGGCAAATAGCTGAGAAAAATCAAAATAATAATAATAATAATAATAATAATAATAATAATAATAATAATAATAATAATAATAATAATAATAATAATAATAATAATAATAATAATAATAATAATAATAATAATAATAATAATAATAATAATAATAATAATAATAATAATAATAATAATAATAATAATAATAATAATAATAATAATAATAATAATAATAATAATAATAATAATAATAATAATAATAATAATAATAATAATAATAATAATAATAATAATAATAATAATAATAATAATAATAATAATAATAATAATAATAATAATAATAATAATAATAATAATAATAATAATAATAATAATAATAATAATAATAATAATAATAATAATAATAATAATAATAATAATAATAATAATAATAATAATAATAATAATAATAATAATAATAATAATAATAATAATAATAATAATAATAATAATAATAATAATAATAATAATAATAATAATAATAATAATAATAATAATAATAATAATAATAATAATAATAATAATAATAATAATAATAATAATAATAATAATAATAATAATAATAATAATAATAATAATAATAATAATAATAATAATAATAATAATAATAATAATAATAATAATAATAATAATAATAATAATAATAATAATAATAATAATAATAATAATAATAATAATAATAATAATAATAATAATAATAATAATAATAATAATAATAATAATAATAATAATAATAATAATAATAATAATAATAATAATAATAATAATAATAATAATAATAATAATAATAATAATAATAATAATAATAATAATAATAATAATAATAATAATAATAATAATAATAATAATAATAATAATAATAATAATAATAATAATAATAATAATAATAATAATAATAATAATAATAATAATAATAATAATAATAATAATAATAATAATAATAAACTATATGTCTGGCCGATAGCAGCATTGTATCCCGCATTGTTGTTGCTACCGTAGCAAAACTTTTTAAGCAAGACGGTACAGCCAGCGAGCTTGAAAGGGTCATGAGTAACACCAGTGATCCATACCGGGCCTTAAATCGAGCCGGTAGCCCATGCAATACCGTAACTCGTCGAAGTGCCCTGGAGTAACATCCCAGGGTGCTGGGATCTCGCCATGTTACGACTAGCAATGTTGAGCATGCTCCTGACAATCCACCCTTCTCGGATGACGGTGATGGGCAAGATGGAGGAGCACCAGAACGGATGCTCGATAACGACCCCGGCAATAGAAATGGACGCTTTTGATAAACGGTTGAACTCAGGGACGATTTGCTGGACGCATACTAAGATAGCGAGCCTGGTCGAAGAGGTTACATGGCAAGAATGCATGGATTGTGATGCAAAAGACACCCAGAGCTTAATAACATCTCTAAACAACATCTTAAAGACTATGTAGCTTATCTTCGCAGATTCGGTTATGTGAGAACACCACAAAATGATACAGAAGTACTGGCTGCACCGGTCCAAGATCAGATTCAACCGATTCAAGAACTAGCTCAAACCCAGCAAGTTTATCTCGAGAACACCAACAATGGACTATCACTAAGACAAACAAGAATTAACATAAAGTGTAATATTAAACCGCAGGACATCATCAACATGGATGCAGCTCTCGCTGGAGAATTTTCAGAAATAACAGACATTATAACCCTTAACAATGCCGTCTATCGTACCGCTAATCAGCTAGTGGCAAATGCTAAAGGTAACAGCTATGCAGATAGAATACTAAAAACGGAACGCCGAATAGACAGAATCATCAATAAAATCCTTTTGACACGGCAACAGGCTTCTCGTATACAGTGTGTGGTCGAATATATTACAGCTAAGCGGCCTTTTACTGAAAAAAATCAGTAAAATAACTAGACAACTTCGTCAAGAATACCACATTCTGAATAAGGCAAGGCTGCTTATAATCAAGCAGCGATGCCTAGATCGTATACGCTCTTTAGGGGTCATAAAGAAGAGCCTAATCAAGAAATCTAGCGGAATTAAGGATAACAACACCTTCCACACTAAACCCTCTAGATTACTTGATGACCCACAACCTGTGATTGAAAATCCGCCGTCAGCTACTGAAGTAGAAAATTTCTGGAAGAACATCTACGAAAGCATGACATCCATCAAGAAGAACACATCATCTCTAATCAGGTTCAGATCCTATTGTACCCGATTTCAACAATACCACCGTGACGATAATCCCCAAATAACTCAGGAAGAGATTAAAAAGGCACTTGAAGGTACAAGAAATTTTTCAGCACCAGGCCTCGATGGCATTAACAACTTTTGGTGGAAGAAATTTCCGAGTACCCATCCGCCCTAAGCCCTTTAAAGTTTCATCTTCTCATATCAAAATTCATCAATTAACGAAAGCTGTCTGCGGTAGAGCGTTTTCGGTTAAATATACTAACATCTTGTATAATACACGCTTCGCTAAAGGCATCTATCAAATAAATATCTAATTAACATTTAAATTTGCTTATATCCTCTGATCGTAGAAAAAAGCTTGTGTGTAGTTTAAGCAGAAAATTATTTGCAACTTGCGATAAATTTCCACGCTTCGTTGACGCTTCGCTTGGCAACTTTTTATCTCGAGAGGCAAAGTAGCACTTTCTGCGCTTAATAAACAAATAGATATTGCAGCAGTTGATTTGAAAAATATAAAAGTTTTCCATTACGTTTGTTTTCTGTCCGAAAAACGATGTTTTTTTTGACAAATTCGACTAAATATTATATTTATATGGTTGCCTGAACTTCAAGAACTTTAAAAAGAACACAATTTATATTACTTGATTTTTAAAAGATTTTTCACATCCTCACTTTTCTAATATTTAATTTTTATAGATAGGAGAAAACAAGTTGGTGGTACGTTTTCATTCTCCCATTGCAATTTCAGCAGCATTGGCAAAAGATCAAGAATACGTTGTACCTCCAACATGCCCACCAGCAGAATATAGAGGAGAATGTAACGCAAATATGATAAGGAAGATGCAATCTTCCTTCTCATGGGATTGGGGACCATCTTTCCCTTCGGTAGGAATATGGTAAGCCATTGCCTCACAAGACAATATTAGATAGTAAAAGTTGACTGTACAATCACAGAATTTGTCCCCATTCTCTCTATTGAAATATAAAAACTAATATGTATGCGATGCAACAACCTAATAATTTAATATTGAAATATGCCATTTTTGCTGAGCTATAGAAATTATCTTATCTCTAAAAATGTAATCATTGATATTGACAACTACATACTATAGACACGTAAGCATACTTTGAAATTTCTCCAAAGTATTTGAGTTTTATTATATTGTTAGAAGTTAAAAGAATTAACAAAATAATTATTGTTTTTAAATGATTTATTATCCTGTATACTATAACACACTCTATAGCCACTTCACAAAACACGTGTGTTAACATGGATTTGTTTTATTAAATAACTCGTAAACAATGACTAAAATGTAATTAATTAAGAAACAAAATAAAGAATGTCTTTAATGGAGATATTCTTTACATGCTTATTACCTCATTGCGTTCGGATGGTCGAAATTCAATTGTTCTGTGTTCCCGTTCTCTTTTGGGTACTGCAACGGGCGAGATGTTGTACCGTCGACCCCCAGTGGCGGCGGCATCCTAATTCGCTGAGTCTAAGACAGCCATACTGATGGGGGTTTTGTTTTCGGAACATGTATCCAATTCCACTGTGGTGTCTTAATTTTCTGTGGAAAAGGGGAAAACGTGATCTATATGCCAAGGTTCAATATACACTTTCATGACCCCAATCTTCAAGATATTGTAATGTTGAAAAACAAATCAATAATAAAATATTCCATGGGAGTATGATGACCACATGCTTCAATTTGTAATCCTAAAAAACAATCCATAAATATTTCATGGGAGTCTGCTGGCCCCATCTTTCAAAGCATATTATTCGCCCTTGAGACATAAAAAAAATAACACTACAGATGGGAGTATGCTGACCCCATCTTTCAAGGCATATTATTCGCCCTTGAGACATAAAAAAAACAATAAAGATGGGTGTATGCTGATCCCACCTTTCAAGACTTATTATTCGTCCTTAATACATAAAATATACCATTAAAGATGGAAGTATGCTGATCCCACTTTTCAGGGGCCTATTACTTCATCCTTGAGATATAAAACATGGAAGTATGCTGACTCCATATTTCAATGTTTAATATTTCATTCCTGCAATAATAAAAATCAAAACAGCCAAAACAAAACATATACTTTACCGTTAGTTTCAAAAAAATTGATAAAGTATTGCAAATCAGTCGCCAATGATCACCCGCTCGGCCAAAGCCTGACTTTATTAACATTTTTTGGAGACGAAATTTTTGTCAACGCCTCTATGTTTCTCTACTCCAATCTAATATCTTCGGCAAAAATCTCCCCATGCAAGAAAATCAATATTTGTTAGTGAAAACATTTTCAAATAATTAGGAGAAACCCTGCTGTTTCTAAGGCTTCTAAAACTTGCTATAAATAAATTTAAATTTGTTATTAATATTTTAGGAAAGAAGTATACATCGAATCCTTCCAAGAATCAACAATTAGATATATCGGAACAGAAATCAGCGATGATGAATACAACTGGTATTTGGATGTTGATGTTTATTTGTCCGGGAATAAAAAACAACTTGTTGAGGGCGTCCTAGAGTTGCACCTTAAGGATCTCGACTCCATTATAAATATAAAGGTAGCGAGGAGACCAAATGTTCAAGGAGAATTTATTGAGAGTGAAAGATTCACTGTTTCCAAGGTTAGTATTTATTCTTATAAAAAGGATGCTGTGTTGTCATATTTGTAGTTTAACGGGTATGACTCACACACGTTTCAGAAGGTGACAGTAGTTTACTTTAATTGCTAATGCCGGAGTAAGAGTCTCCGCGTAAAGGAATTTAAAAAATGTGTTTTTATATACGGTTTAATAACCGTAATCATAAGCCAATAAGTAAAATTAACAAATTTATTACATAAGAAGGCTATTTACAAAAAATGCTATAATTATTATTTCAAAAGAGCTCCCCTGATGAAACTCTTAACAAAATAAAGAAAACCAAAATGTTCGCTAAACAGTAGTAGTAAAGCTGGAGGATAGAATTCAATCGGTCACGGGAAAATAAAACAAATCACATAATTCGGAAAAAATAAATCATATCATATATAGTATATTGTGTCACAAGGGCAGAAAATAAGCTTTAGCAGCCCAAGGCTATTAGCTGCATGAGCGAGCGAAGCGAAGCGAGGCATATATAGATGTTGCTCAATCACGCAAAAAGGTCTAAACGGATCTGGATGAAATTTGGCAAAAATATAGATTATAGTCTGGATTAGCACATAAGCTTCTTTTTATTTCGAAAAAATGTACGGTTCCCGTGACAAATATTTTCTGATCTCAAAATTCGTTTAAAAAAAAATATTTTAAAATTTAAAATTTTACAAGTTTTATTTCATCTAACAATACATCTAACTACCAAGAGATCTAATTAACAAGTCCATTATTCACATAAAAATGTTGTAAATCAGAATAATGAAATAAGATACGCGATAAGAGTTTCTAGGAAAAGAAGTCGTTGACTCTTCAATTCCCATAAGGAACGTTGATGTAATTCCTCCCTTCGGAAATTCAACTTCGAGGGCTAACGAGGAAGTTGAACATTGGCCAGATCTATTGGTTGTTCTTGCTTCTTTTTTTGTGTTGATAGTACGAAGTTTTTTGAAAACTAGTGTTCCCCCAAGTAGAATCAGGAGACAATAAATAACTATTATCCAGATGCTCGGCGTGGAACGAATTATACGGAATATTGGATCTGGATTGTTCTCAAAAAATTTTGATTTAATATCCTGCAGTTCATCTAGGTTATTTTCTTGAAGTTTGATTTGGACATTGGTTTCTGGAATGCTTAGGGTGTCGAATTACAGTTCAGGAAAGAAGATGGGTTGACCAATAATTTCGCTATTGTTTCTGTTGACAATTTTCTTTTGTTGCATATTTATTGAACAATCGATTGGAATATTGATAAAGTAGATGCCAATCCATTGATTCGTATCTTCTAATCGTTCGAAGTATGGTTCCGTAATTTAGATTCGTGTTTGGTGGCAAGCGGAGGTGTTTTTGATATTTAGGAGTTCGACTTCACAAGGATTTTCTTTCTTGATAAATTGTGGTTCAGCATTCTCGCAAAAGTACTGTTTTGTTCGATACAGTTTAGGACAGGGCATGCTCATAAATACGTATTGCTTATCGTTTTTTAATAAGAATTTATTTTTTGGAATTATTACTTTTAATTGACCTTGCGCTCCAATTGGTACAATGTATTAGATATAAATGATAGTAATCTAAAATGCTATTATGGTATTTGTAGTACTTATATAAGTAATTCTATTCTTAAAAATTAAGCTATAAATTTTAATTAATTTTTCTAAAATTAGAATATTATGTTGATTTATTTCTATACATAATTTACCTATCTCTAATTTTGTAGTGTTACTAACTCGTTGTAAATATCTTCAGTTCTTATTATACTAGGATGCATAACTTTTAACTTTGAAAACGATATAGCTGTTTTAGTTTTTTTTTTTTTTTTTTTTACCAAATTACAGCTTTTTTTTTTTTGTTTTTGGTTTTTTCTTGCTGTTTTAGTTAGGGAAGTTGTAAGTTTTTTGTAAAGGTCGTTTGAGATTATCCATGTGAATTTTTTTTTGAATCTGTTTTATTTTCGATATTAACTTTTTATTTTAGTAGATTTATTGAATTTGTTGGCTTATTTTTGCCTTATATGCTTTTTAACATATGTTTTTTGGTTTTTCTGAAAAATGTTAGGGTCATCACGGGTTTTATGAATTTTTTCGATATGGTTTTGTTTTTCTTTTAACAAATCTTCATTAATTTTTGAATATTGCAGTTTTGTTCTTTCTTTGTGGTCGTTTATGTAGTCATTAATAAGAATTTTGTCAATATCTAAGGGTCGTCTGTGTTCACACGTCCGTTTATTATGTCTATAGGTTTTCGCTTGGTTGTAAAATGTATAGAGTGACCATATGCCATAATCGCATAAGGCATTTTTAAAAGAATTGGTGTTTTAAGAGAGCCTTTAGTGTTAAGTAACCGTATGTGTTCTATAATTGTCGAATGTAGTCTTTCTATGGAACCTTGTGATTGTAGGTGCTCAGGGCAACAGAAATGTATTTTAATTTTATATAGGTTGAGAAGTTCTGTAATTATGGTATTTTTGAATTCAGTACCATTGTCGGTGTATATTTGTTGAGGGATACCATGATGAGAGAAGAATTTTATAAGGTTGTTAACGATTTCTGTGCTACAAAGACTTGTTAGATGGTATGCTTGCGCATATTTTGAAAAACTGTCAACGCTTGTCAAAAATTTTTTGATTCATTTTTATTTTTACGGGATTTTTTTCGCATTTGCTTTGTTGGCAAATTTCGCAATCATTTACGCAAGTTTATATCGAGTTTTTTATGAAAGGCCAATAATATTTGTCTTTAAATCTCAAATATGTCTCGTCTATATCCCTGTGGTTTGTTTTGCCTTCGTGATAGGCTTGTATAAGTTCATTATCTTCGTCTTTGGTTGTAATGTCTAATATTTTTTGGGTACACCTTTTAAATTTGATAGCAGAGTTTTTTAAATAATTTTGTAGGATTATTAAGAATGGCTCAAACATATTAGGATTTTCGAAATAAATGTGATGAACGCCGTCTGGATTAATGTTATTTTTTATAAGAATAATTACATCTGATTTAAGATTATTCTTTAAAATTAAAAAATTAAAAAACAATATTAAGTTACTTGTTACTTACAATAAAAACACGAATTTGAGCATTATCCTAACTATAAGGATGAACAGTACCTATCCCTGGAATCTGCACTCCTTGCAAAGTTGAGCGATTTGTGTCCCAACTTTCGACGCTAATTGTTGTGAACGGCTATACTGGTCCTCGATGGATGGGCTTCTCGATGTTTGGGGAACCACTCCAATATCAACATCACACACGAATCGCGACAAGAGTTCGATATCCAATCAATCGGTAAAACGAAAATTGACACGTTCGATACGCGATATCCTCTCTGTGCCCCAAATATTTTCTGACCTCAAAATTCGTTTTTTAACCCTTAACTACTACCACTGGGTCACATTGACCCATGCGCAATTGGTAATTTGTCAGTGCGACATTCTACGGAGATTCTATTGCTTGGGCTTCTCAGTATGCTCTAGGTAGCCAGAGACAACACATGCGACGGCGTTTTTAGTTTAAATTAATTATCGCAAGTCTGTTAGAACGATCATATTGGGTCAGAGTGACCCAGTTATAGTGTAAAAGTTATATTTGAGTCAGGTAGGTAATTGTTCCCTACAAAATAGTATTTTTAGAAAAATGAATAACCGTCCTCTTACTGAAAACGAACTCGTAGAATTGGCTGAAAATGACGAATTTTGGCTAGATGATAACAACCCTCAAGAAAATAATGAAAATATACCTCTTTCAAGCAGTGATAAACTAGATGCTTGCAAAAATATTCTGGACTGTGGAGATGAAAGCGACAAAGAAGAAGAAGATGAAGAAATACAAAGCGATCATTACACTGATAGTGAAGAAGAGTGGGAACCTGACAATAATGAAAATTTAGAGAGTGACGATTCTGTTGAGAATGATACGGTGGTTGAAAATAATGAACAAATTGATGAATCCCAATGAGAAAATATAGCGCCAGAAAATGAACAAACAAGAAAAAATTATTGGTATGGTAAAAAAAAACAAAATGAAATGGTCAAAGACACCTCCAAAAAAAGGTAAAACACTCTCAAACAGTTTGATTAAATTTTTAGCAGGCGTCAAAGGTTTAGCACGTGAACATCCTCCTACAATTCCTCTAGAAAGTTGGAGATTACTTTTTGATGACTCAATGATAGAAAGTATTGTGAAATTCACGAATCAACGTATTGACATAGTCGCTGCTAAATACAGTCGATGCAAAAGAAAGAATTTTTTTCCAACATTTTTCAAAAATACAAATAAATTGGAAATTGAAGCGTTTATTGGTCTCCTTTACCTTCAAGGTTTGTTCAAGTCAGGCCATGAGGACTTAAAAAGTCTATGGGCTACGGATGGTACAGGAAGGGATCTATTTAGAGCTACTATGCCACTAGCCAGATTTTCATTTCTTTTATGCTGCATTCGTTTCGATGACGAGACTACTCGAGCGGATAGAAGAAAAGAAAATAAACTAGCACTAATTTCTGAAATGTTTGATAAATTTGTCACTAATTCAAAGCAAAACTATACACCTGGTGATAGCATGACTGTAGATGAAATGTTAGTACCTTTTAGAGGCCGTTGTGGATTTCGAATGTTCATACCCAACAAAACCGCAAAGTACGGCATAAAAGTACAAATTCTTGCAGATTCTCAAACACATTATATGCTAAATGCTGAAATTTACGCTGGAAAAGATCATACAGAGAAAAAAACAAACAACTTTTCTAATCCAACCTAAGTAGTTCTTCGTTTGGTGGAACCAATAAAAAATACTTCTCGAAACATAACAGCCGATAACTGGTACTCCTCAGTTGAACTAATGAGAAAATTAGAGAAATTAAAGTTGACATTTGTTGGGACAGTGAAAAAAAACAAAACATTTATTCCTTTGGAATTTATGCCATCTCCCAAGAGAAAAGCAGAGTCATCCATTTTTGGGTTTAGTGCTCAGAAGACAATAGTATCATACGTACCCAAAAAAAATAAATCTGTTATTCTTATTTCAAGTACCCACCATGATGATAAAGTGGACGCACAAACCAAAAAACCAGATATAATACTATTTTACAATAGTACTAAAGCGGGAGTGGATGCGCTTGATCAAAAATGTGCCAATTACACAACTTCACGTAGAAGTCGAAGATGGCCAGTGACCATTTTTCATGCTCTTTTGAATATTGGAGGGGTAAATAGTAGAATAATTTATCAATTTGCCTCAGGTGGTAAAGACATTTCAAGGTACAATTTTTTAAAACAACTTGGACGTAATTTATGTATACCGTATATGCAAAAAATGTATCAAACTTCGTTGCCACGCGGTTTGAAAACTTAAATTTTTAATTTGATTGGAGATACACTTCCACGACCCCCAGCACCTCAACAAAGAGTGGGAGCCTCTAAAAGAAAAAATGTGAAATTTGTCCCGTCAAAAAGACAGGAAAACCAGCATCTACTGTCAAATGTGTAATATTCCAGTGTGTATAAAATGTGCAAAATAGTATATTATGCAACGATCATGTAATGATGGTTATTAATACACGAGCATTAACCGGGATACGAAACGAGCCAAAGGCGAGTTTCGTATGGTTTATGCGAGTGTTTTAATAACTATTACATGAGAGTTGCATACGCTATTTTTTCTACACCCGATAAATAATCAAGACCTATAAATATTATATTTATATTCGTATTGAACACAATAACAGTAATTACTCGTATTTCTATAAAAAATTTTACAAAATTGTAATTAATGGTATTACTTCAGGTATTGGTATTTCCCTAGATTTTTGCGGTAAAATATTTTGTACTGTATTTTCTGCTTTCTCCGATATGTGTGGAGGAGTCTTCTATATCGCTAATATCAGACATTTTAATATTATAATTATCGAAGTTTAGCTACCTACGAAAATTTAATACGTTTTGACAACTAAAATAATTACATAGGAACCTAG